AACGTCGGCTCGTTGGATCTTCAGTTAAAATAAACGGTTGCCTTGAAACGGGGCTACGATGCGTGCTACGACAATACGAAGGGACGCGGCGAGAGATAAAAGGACTACGAGCCCTCTTGGGTGGCCCTCCTGTACGGTTCTTTGGTCATCGCCGTCTGTACGATTTTACCCTTTTTTGATATACACCTATGGGTGGGTTCTGTTACTTTTTCCTTTAACTCAACGACCCTTTCTCCTTTCTCTCCTATAATTATCATTTATTCAACGATCGTTATAAACGTAAAGTGAGAAATAGTAATGTGTTATAAATATCCCTTATAAAGTTACCCACATTTCTTATATTATACATTTGATGGATATAGCCATAGATATAATATAATTAAAAGTAATTTTAATTAATAGCATATGCATATGGATTTGCGAACAATAAACAATACTTAGATTGAGAATAATCTTTCATTGAAGATTTTTAATAAATTTTCCTACTTTTCTATTTTATTTATTTTTAATAAATTCCTGATAAACGTGATATTAAATGTCATTGTAGATTTTATTTGATATCTAATAACTGAATTCTTAATAGGTATAAAAATATCCTTGAAACGTAACAATCGAATTCTTCCTTTCTTACCCCGTTCATCCAAAGATTCGATTCTTTTCATTCATTTCAGCATAAAAGCATTCTCCATCGAAATCCCAAAATCCATTTGGGAAAATACGAAGGGCGCGATGTACAGGGAGAAGAAAACGAGAGAGAAAGAGAAAGAGAGAGAGAGAGAGAGAGAGAGAGAGACGCCTTAGCCTGAAGCTTCTCCGGTAGCCTCGCGCGAGGGTCGTAATTAATTAAACAAGCAATTCATTACACATTCTACCCTCGTCCCGTAGCCGAAGGTAGCCGCCACAGAAAGGCGGCAAGACCAAGGAAATTGATTGAGAGAGGTTTGCCTCCTATTCCACCTCCCCCACCTCTTCCTCCTCTTTCTCATACCACCTCTTCTTCGTACGGATGCTCTTCCTAGCAAACGTTTCTCTCCTCCGAAATTCAAAATCCATGTTGTACAAAGTAGAAAAGATCGAAATTGGGCGGACATTTTCTTTTCTTTTTTTTTTCTTTTAATGTTTGGAGCAGAGGGAGAGAGAGACAAACAGACAGACAAAGAGAGAGAGAGAGAAGAGGAGAGAAAAAGGTAGGTAGGAAGAAAGAAAGAGAAGAAAAGAGAAGAGAAGAACGGGTAGCGACGGAACGAAATGAGGAGCTGTCGTTGCCAGCTGGTAACACTCGAGAAATTCCCTGGCAAGTCACCCCGCGTAAAGGGGGATGATGTCCAATGAAATCGATAGGAAGGATTCCAGATAGAGAAGTTCGAGAAGTTCAAAGTCGATTTCCTTTCGTTCCTTAGCACCCTAGTCAAGTTCAATGAGTATTACCTATGTATGTCCGTCCGATTCTAATCTTCGAGTAAGCAAACCAGTTGGAATCTAAATTTCTCTTAGACGAGAAGGGTCCCGAAACAACCATGAGTAGAGCAAAAGCAAATAACGTTTGGTAGGTTACGTAACGAGGAAAGACGTTTCGTTCCTCCTTTCCGGTGAGAAGAGAGGCCAAGAGACCTTCTTACCCTTCCTATTACAGAGTTCCTGGTAATTGTATGTCCCAAATATAGCGTGCGAGTAGTAGAACTACTCCGAGAAGTTTGCGTAAGCGTGTGTTAGCGACATAACACGCGCAATATCTTCGCGGGTAACGCCGCAGCCCTTTGTCAATGTTATGGCCGACCAGGCCGTACTTATAAATAATGGCAATTGCACGAAACTTAGGCATCAGCTAAAGGAGGAACCGCATACAAAAGGCTATTCCAAGTTTACTATCTATATAGACTCATTCGCAATAGATTCTTGATTGGGAACAAAATTATCTTTTAAATTCAGATCGAGATGAATCTATTATGTAAGATTGCAATCAACAAGAGAGAAACAAAGAGAGAGAGAGAGAAAGAGAAAGAGAAAGAGAGAGAGAGAGAGAGAGAGAGAAATGAACAGAGAGACAATAGCTGGTAAATACGATAACTATAGTCATAGCCTTGAAATCATCATTAAAATAGGTCACGAGTAATCGTACACGCGATAACAAAGATCGATACCTTCAAATTCGTAGTTGTTCTGTGTAGACCATCTAAGCCATGGCTGTTGGATGAGTTCTTCGACTACAAGAGCAAGCATGCATAACACTCACTACGTATAATAGAAAAATAGAGAAGAATAGAAATGCTTACAGTGATACTCACTGGTCTTGGATCGCGGCTCACGTGGGCCGTCTACGGTCACTTTGATAGCCTTCGTATAAGTAGCCACTTGAGGTGGCGTTGTTGAAACTGTTATCGTCAAGGTGAAACTTTTTCCTGCAACATGTAAATCAAAAAAAAAAAAAACAAGAAAAAAATTGAGAGAATTAGATTAGGTTCTGCGATCTTTCTTTTTCTTTTTCTTTTTTTTTTTTTGTCATTAAATTACCACCAAGTAATAAATTAACGAAGGGTAAAGCGATTTGTTTCGACGTATAACATGATTATTGCGATGAAATCAAATAAATTCAGATTGTTATGCGTCGATAGGCCTGCTTCTTTATACCTTTTGATCGAGAACAATCACGTTATATCTTGAGAAACACAGAGAAAGAGAAAAAGTCGATGCGATCGACTAGAAAAAAAAAAAAGAAAAAAGAAAAAAAATAAAGGAAAGGTCATTGTAAGGGAAATCTAGAAAATCGAGATTTCATGGGGGAAATAGGGAGGAATCAAAGCGCGATGATCGAATTCTTCGAATTCCCAACCATTGGACGAACCGCAAAACGAGTTCGGTTTGTTCGTCGAGACCAGAAGGATGAGTGCTGTTTCTCTCTTTCGCTCTCTCTCTCTCTTACACTCCTTTCTTTTTCTCTCTATCTATCTCTCCTCTTTTTTCTTTTTTTCTTTTTTTATCATCCTATCGCATCGGCCGTTCTCGCGGCGCGTCGATTCGCGAAAGCGAACGCGAAACCTATTCAACGTCGGCGCTGAAAGTTCGCAAACGTGGTTAGCCGTGCGAAACTCCGTGGTAACCGAATTAGCCGTCGGTAATGTATCGAGGGCGTCGTCGACGGTGACGGTGGCCAGCCAGAAGAGCCAGAGCGTGTGCACGTGCGCGCGCGCAAAAGAGAAATAGAGATAGAGATATAGAGAGATAGATAGATAGATAGAGAGAGAGTGAGAGAGAGAGAAAGAGAGAAAGAGAGAAAGAGAGAGAGAGAGGGAGAGAGAGAGAGTAAATGGAAGCCTCGAATTATGCTAAAAAGCCTGTTAAACGGGAATAATGTCGCGGAAAAACTGACGCCGTCGTGGAAAACACGCAAGCGGCCCGTCGAACACGCGGAGGTTCACCGCAATGCCACCATCCCCTACTGCTACTACTGGCTCTCGTCAACCCCCGTGGGCCACCCCTAAACCAACCCTTCTCCATACCAATCCTATGTTTATCTCGACCCAAGGATTTCTGTTCGATATTTTTCAATGCAATAACAATAAAAAAAAAAAAAAGATTTTATTTCTTTTTCTCCTTTTTTCCCTTGTATTTGATATTCGTTATTCTCTCTCCTTCTCTCTCTCTCTCTCTCTTTCTTTCTTTCTTTTTTGTTGTCGTCGTTGAAACGTTTAACACAACATGATAATTTTGTTTTTACGATTTCAACGAATGTCATCAATTTACATAAAAGATCTTACATATTCCATAGGACTTATCGCCAACCGAGTGGAAATTTAATGGAAGCGAGATGATTGTGTATTTCAATGTAATCGGATGCTATAATATAAACCGGTCGAAAACAGGCGAATTTTGCCTCCGGACTGTTTAGAAAACGGGGAATTCAAACGCATTATGTTATTTATATCCTGATACAAAAGCGATACAACTTTACTGTTTCGTTGCAATCTGCTCGTTCGAACTCGACGGTCTAATATTTACGTTACATTCTTGATGGTCGTAATTAAGCTGCGGTCGACAAATTTGGACGATGGATAATTCTAAATTTCCTTTCAAAATGAAAATATGATCCAAACGTAACGGTAGGGGTAATAGGAGTCGTTTAGTAAAAGCTCGAACGTTAGAAAAAACTACTAAATTATTATTAATCATAAAAGACGTGTTCCGATAATTCAATTGTTACGAACATTTAATTTGTCTTGCAATAATGAAAAAAAAAAAAAAGAAAAAAAAAGAATGAACGAATAATTTGTTTTTCACTCCTATTAAGAAAATCTAAATACTTCAATGATTTTTCTATTATTTATATATTACAAATTTTTCTATTTACGTTCTATTTCGAATGAAAATAAATATCATAAAATTCACGTTCATCGATCGAAAATCTGTCCAATCTCCGTTCTCTTCCTCTTAAACCTTTTTCTCCCCTTTTTCAGTTCCTCTCCACCGTCCAAGTTAACAGGTTTAAAGGATAAGGATTATGAATAACAAAAAAAAAAAAAAAAAAAAAAAAAAACAGAAAAAAGAGAAAGAAAGAAAGAAAGAGCGAAATAATGGCGAGTGTCGAACGTGGCCACACGGTGGTTCGCCACGCGAGCTTCTCGTTTTCCTCGATGCAGCTCAAGTCAGTGTATTCCCCAGGTTTGCCCCGGGAGTCACGCCATCCTCGATCTGCCTACTGCCTGTTTGCCTGCCAGAACCTTTTCACCTACTACCTATGCCTCGTAGTCAGGTAGGTACGCGTAGGTACACGGTATCACCCTCGGTGCCAGTCACCGTGCAACCATTAAAAGTCTTCTCCCCTTTTAATGCGAGACACAACCCTTTTTTCCTTTCTTTTTTCTTTCTTTTTTCTTCTTTTTCTTTCTGTCTCTTTTTTTTTTCAAACGCGAGACTCCTCTCGCTTCGTTCGTTCGTATGTTCATTCGTTCGTTCGTTCCTTGCTATAATTTCTTTACTTTTTGCTTTAACGTGTCTTTATTCGTGAAAGAACACGAATGGAAATGTTTTCTACTTAAACTTTGAACGAATTCCGAATTCTATGTACTACGTATTCCATGTTGACTTTCAACCGAGATATTGGGTTGATACTATTACATCCTGCATCTACATTTCAATAGAAGAGGAAGTCATTTTAAAAAGTACGACACATTTGTGTGTTGACAATTGTGTGTTCGGTATTTAACTAAGAAAAGAAAAAAAAAAAGGAAAGCAAAAAAGAAAACAAACAAATTTCACGTACACGATATATTATTAATTTTTGTCTTTGAAATGAAACGTTATTATAATTTTAGAAACCAGATTTTACACGCAACACGCACGTTGGATAAAAGGAGAATAAGGAAGGGAGAAATAGAGAGAGAATGAAAGAGAGAGAGAGAGAGAGAGAGAGAGCTAAAGAGAGAGAGAAAGAGAGAGGGAGAATGAGAGGGGCAGTGGCGCGAAGACACGAAATTGAATTTGTATGAAATCGAATCGAGAAGAGAGTCGATCGAGTAATAGCTCGTCCTCGTCGATTCGCTGATTATGCTCGTTAGCATACGTTTCTCCGTGAAAGGTATGCGCCTACATGCATATATACTCTCGATGTTAACATGTTTTGTATGTATATTATGTATGTGCGTGCGTGCGTACGTACGTGCGTGTGTGTATGTGTGTATGTGTATGTGTGTACGTGCGTGTGTGTATGTATGTATGTGTAGGTTGTCCGGGTGCTGTCGAGCCAATTAATTAATTTCAATTTTACCCGGAACGAATCGCAAATGCGCTATTGTAGCCTGATAACGAATTGATTATGGTCAGGACACGCAGGCCGAGCCGTTATCGCTTGCGGCTACTACACCTTTTCTCTTTCTAAATTTCGGAAAATAAGCGATGGTCGTTTCATGAAATTTAGTTTCCAACTGTGAACATTTAATGAGAGAAAAGGATAGAGAGAGAGAGAGAGAGAGAGAGAGAGCGAGAGAGAGCGTGTGTGAAAGAGTGAAAGAGAGTGAACAATTTTATTCTAACGACTTCACCTACGAACGAATTAATTATAGTCGACTCTCTAGAGCATGGAAGACACGCTCTTAACGTTAATGACGCTTTTATCTGATAAAAAAAGAGTGAGATAAGGTAAGGTCCTCGTATATATGATTAGAGCCACGAAAAAGCACTTTCATCTTAGAAATCGAGAGGAAGGAAATCCCATCCTTGATAACAAAGTTCCAACGTACTCCTATACTCCTAGGCTGAAACTATAAGCACCCAAATGATCTATCTCGTTAAAGGGCTTAGAAGCAAAGGGGTAGAAACGATCCAGTACCTTCGGGGTAGATTTCGCTCTGATGGAGCAGGCATTACAGTTGAACGTGCGGCAAGGGGTCTCCGGCTTATCATCGATATTGCAAAGCTTTCGACTATCATACTATCGAGCTAGTCTTCTCCACGAACGATGTCGTTGACGCTTGTGTTTTCTTCTTCTTCTTCTTCTTCTTCTTCTTCTTCTTCTTCTTCTTCTTCTTCTTCTTCTTCTTCTTCTTCTTCTTCTTCTATTTCTTCTTCTTATTCTAGGAACTATTGTACTAATACTTATCGATGTTAATTTTGAGATCAGTAAGGTATTTGTTCTTGAATTAACGTTATTAAAAATTACAAACTATGCTGATTCGATGATTCACGTGCCTTTTAAATTCAATGAGCTTGAGGCTCGAGTTCGTACGAGTCTGAGTGCCTTTATGTTCGAAGAACAAGAGGATCATTATAGATTCGTGGAAGACAGTTCGGCGCACATCGGTTTCTAGGAATATTCAAGGAGAGACGAACGAAGAGACGAGAACCTGACGAGAGACACTTCTCTTACATTCTTCATCCAAGCTTATGTTAATTCCATGCCAAGCGAAAACAATCGAGAGCTAATCCCAGACAAATGACAGACGCTCGCGAGCTTCTAAAATCTTGAGAGGGTGAGTTTCCCTTCGTTGTACGACTAGAAAGAGAGAGAGAGAGAGAGAGAGAGAGAGAAAATTCGACAAATCTGTGATTTATAAAGAGAGAATTGCATTCGTAAAGGTATATCTTCGCAAAGGATTCGTAAGATCCAATAGATAAAGAAACAATACTTGTTTTCTTATCGACCGTATAAATATTTTCTTATCGATAGTATTCTAATCGTTTACTTCTTCAAACTCGACGTTGCAAAATGTTCGCTAAGGTCGATAAAATAAAAATAGAAAGTGACAGAGATAAAAGGAAAAGAACTCTAATCTAAAGGAATAATTTATTAATTCCAGCTTTGAAAGTAGGTCGAATGATGAGTAGAAGCTCTCCAAGGTCGAATTGGATTAAACGAAGTACCATGGCTAATAACGTTAATTAAAATCCGTCTGAAACCTCAATTAATATCAGCAGCAACCCTACTTTTGGCTTCGTTGCGTCCCGTTTCGTCCCTCTTTACTCTTCTTCCTCTCAACGAAGGAGGATGGTTGGTGAAATAAACGTTAGATCGGTCGGTGGTAGTGCGGACAAATAAAAGCCATTACCCACCCCTAAGATATCGTCTTCGTCTTCGTCGTCGTCGTTGTCGTCTTCGTCTTCGTCTTCGTTTTCGTCTTCGTCTTTGTCTTTGTCTTCGTCGTCATCGTCGTCGTCTTCGTCACAATCTTCTCGAAACCACCCTCACACAATAAGGAAACTCTAAGAGAAAGCGGGTAGTTGATTGTTCGACGTCAGTAAGAAAAGGAACGACTGGCAAGACTTTTCCCTTCGGTAAGGGCTAAAGAAAAAGGAGGGTGTCTCAAGACGTCCACGACCTACCCTTACTACTACTATAAGACCAAGGAGGATTCTTCCTTCTACGAAAAGGGTCCCTATCAGCCTTCCCCTTCTTTCTCGTATTCATTCGCGACGCCAAGGGGCGACACGCTTCGCCGACGAAAGCCAAGCAACTTTCCACTTTTATGAATGGAACAAGGAGAAAGTAGGCCAAGAAACTTCACCGTCTTTTAAGATTAAGAATAATCTTCGTCGCTCACCCTCACTCTCTATCTTTCTCTTTCTCTCTCTCTCTCTCTCTCTCTCTCTCTCTTTTTCTTTCTTTCTCTCTCTATATATTCTTCCTTTCTCTTAATTAGAACTAATTTATAACGCGCGTCGAGTAACACGAAGCAACGAAGATGTTAGATGAATATTTTGTTATACAAGAAGAAACCATTCCTTTTCTCACAATCCCATTTTCTTCTTTATAGTATTCAAGAAATGGTAATTAATAATTCTATAAAAAATATCTCGACTCACCTCTGCCACTTCTACCGACGAACCTCAGATCGTTGAACTTCGCCACCTGATTCTTCATCAACGCCGTCGAGTTTCTTAACTCAGCACAACAATTCTCATCGTTACCAGCTCGAACCGTCACTAATGTACCGTCGCCGACTTCACCGAGAGCTACTACCTTAAACGCTACTGGTAACGTCTTGTTGGATCTCCAATGGGCTGGTAAAACGGTACAAACCAAATGCGGTGAGCCTATAAAAAAAAAATTATTTCGATAATAAGAATAAAGTTTAATAACTTCAAGTAACATAACGAGTATGATGCTCATGTTCATGATTTCGATTAACTAAGTTTTTAACTGAGATTTTTTCTTAGCATCAATGATAATTACAATCAATTAAAATAAACAAATTTTGACAATGATTTTGTTCGTATTCTCCGAAAATTGTATAAAGTAAAAAAAGTTGTTATAGCTTTATATTAATATCAGATTTTGATAAGTATTATAAAAATTAAAATTTAAACTAACAACAATTTATATAACATAACATTTCATATAGAATTTATATAGAGTAACATTTATATAGAATAACATTTCATATTATAACAAAAAAAAAAGAAACTTTCGTTGTGACAGAGAATGATGTGTAAGAAATAAAAAATGTTGATTATTTCGTAGAAACATAAATGTAATGTTAAGAAAAAAAGATAGATGAATAATCTTCTTTTTTTTTTTCTTTTTGATGAAAATGAAACGGAATAAAAATTAGAAGAAAAAGTATAATATATTATATGGAAAGTTTGTCATTCGAAATATTGGGTAACATTAAATTCTAAAGAGTTGAAAAAAAGTCACCTGTCCTGACAAGTTCGCCAGGATGCTCGCTAACAAAATCACCAAGCGTTCTCTCGGCAAGTATATCGCTAGTCATTTTCGTATAAGCGTCCGTCAATGGCGAGACGCCGGACTCCGGTGAGGCAGCCGCCCCAGGAGCCGAAGCTCCTGTCAACTGCATCCTGCTAGACGATCCTCCGCCGCTCTCACTTCCACCGCTAGACGTTCCACTGCCAGACTCGTTGCTCGATGTCCTCACCGAAGCACCGCCGCCGCTTCCGGTTACCGTGCTTCCGCCGCCGCCGCCGTTGCAACGGTCGAATATATCCATAGGCAGTCAGAACGCCGGATGAAACATCCTTCCATTCGGTTCGAACCACCGAACAACCCAGTTTCCAAAAGATGATCTTTAGAATCTTAATCCTTTCTTCATCTGATAACACCAATGATATTTCTTAACGAATATTTTCTTATCGGCCAGTTCAGTCATTTAACATTATCGTTATCGTTCTTATAACGAATAAGCAGAAATCTTCTCTTAATACATTATCCCTTTTAATTTCTCATTCGACGGTATCAACTTCTTCATCTTTTTCTCTCCCATTTTGTGGTCAAAGTTTTACGAATGATTCCGGATACACAATCTAGGTACGAATTAACGAAGATCTGCAACCAGAGAAACTCTCATTTTCAAACTAGAAACTCTTCGTCGGATGTCGTATACGTTAATGGGAGATACTGACTCGGATGTATACTGACTCTCAAAGTCAAAGTCAAGTGTATACGAACTCTACGCTCGGATGAGTAATCGCAAGGAATGTTTTGATAAGAACAAATCAATACGATAGTTGGAATTATTGGAATTACATGGAACGTTTATTAAGGGTCATCTGTCTATTACGTTTGATGAGTCTGGTTTTCTCATTGAACCTCTATGCTACGAAAAGAATAAAAAAAAAGAAAAACAAACGAGACTCCATCGAGATATGTGTATATATATATATATATATATACATGTATATACATGTATATATACACACATATATATATACAGAGAGAGAGAGAGAGAGAGAGAGAGAGAGAGAGAGAGAGAGAGAGAGAGAGAGAAAGTGAAAGAGTACTACGAAGAGAAAGAGAGAAGGGAGAGGTCGGAGAATAAAATGGAGGAGGAGGATGAGGAGGATGAGGAAGAGGAGGTTGTGGATGGGGGAAGGGGAAAAACGGTTGACACGACGAAGCGACTCGCACACTTTTCACGCGGGCGCCTGGTGACGTCACCGTTCATTCAGTAATTTTTGCGCACGTCACCGGGGCTGACACGGCGTATCCAGGTGGTACGGAGGGGCAGATCCGCGAGAGCTAGTGGTGGGGGACGGAAAAAATAGGGGAAAAAGAACGGCCACCACCGGTGAGGCAAACCCCCACACACGAATACTCTCAACCCCTACGCACTACGACCGCGTGTCAAACTACACGTGGTACGTTACCACGTTGTTCTCTGTCAATCCTTCGTCCTTCGTCCTTCCTTCTTCTTTGCCGACACGAAAACGTATACGAGATAATATCTAAATTAAAATTAAGACCAAAATTATAACCAACGATTAGATACTGAAGGTAAATCACTTCATTCGTCTAATAATTAACAAGTTTCTTTGATGACAATTATTCTACTTTATGACAACGTTAACTAATGGAACACGTTAATATTGTCTAGGATGAAATTTAGTCAGCCCCGGAATAGTTCCTATAATATTAGAATCGATCGCTTATCGGTTACGTACGATTACCAATGAACGGAAACCGCCCGGGAAATTATGTAGAATCGATAAGTGCTATTACATTACGCTCGTTAAATGAGTAATTCATATATATATATATATATCGTTATGCCGAACGCGACCAATTTTATGACTATTCTTTTGTAATAAGTACGAAAGGTATTCTATTGTGTATCGTGCATGAAATAAATGTCTATTTGAAAAGAATCAACGAAATTCGATTGGAAATATTGCATCGATATGTTTTCCTAATTAAAAACGTAGTAAGATTGAGAAATTAGGGTAATAGGGGAGGTGTTCGATGGCGTCGCGCTAATTCTCCTTCTCGGAGATCTTACGAGAACTTTCGTAAGAATCTTCGACGACGTTGCGACGGCTAAGATGCCCGCTTAACTTCGCATTCAAATCTCTTACCAAGCTCGTTGCTTGTTGCCTCTTCTAGAGAAAAACGCAGAGCGTGACACGATTATTCGATATCCCTGCGAATCTTTGTTTATGATTTTGACAAGTTTTAATTAATATTCGTGATGTCATTGGACGAATAGTTAGACACGTTGGTATCCTAAGTCGTTGGAGCATTGAAAAGATTCGTGAAATGAATTCTCAGTGAGTCCAGAAGGAAAACGGTTGATTTTTAGAAACATTTTTAGGAATGAAATATTATTCTTCTTCTTCTTCTTCTTTTTCTTCTTCTTCTTCTATTATGAGATTAATCAATTCGACGAATGATCTTCTCTATAATTAATATCTCTTATGAGCGAATGTTGGACACCTTTGTTATATTATTCTGAAGAAGTGACGTTGTTTAACGTAAACATCACGACATATTCACAATAGCACAAGATGATGATTCCGACGAAAGATTTCCCTTCGTATTAATAACACTCCGTGTACGTGGAATCTTAATCACTGATAAAACCGTTCAAAATCATTGCATCCAAGGGACACGCGCGATTACACAACACCAATCCGAATAATGATTGTTCGTTATCCACACTCGAATTCTTCTGACACTACGAAACAAACGAGTCAACGATGTAACAAAAAGAGAAAAACAAAAAATCTAACACTGATATCAATTTTAAAATGATTTCTAATCGTTCACTGTTCACACTTAAAATAATAATAATAAGAAGAAGAAGAAGAAGAAGAAGAAGAAGAAGAAATATATGAAAGAGAAGATATGAGAACTCCGAGTGCACAGTTAACGAAGTTAAAGACGATTACATGAGGATATTATCCGAGAGGATAGGATTCGGTTTGGCAGGATCATTGAGATTCCTTGAAAGATCCTCTTGGGATGTCTCGAGATAACTCGTGAACAATATTCCAGAAGGATGATAGAACGATATCCGTGAGGAGTCTTCGGTGATGCTTCTATTCTGGGCGTGCTACGGTACTCTGTGGTGTATTTCGGAACACCCGTTGGGGTCACTAACTATAATTTCGGCGGTTCGTGTGAGGCAACAGCCGTTGACGCACTGGTCCATGCCAACACACGCAGCATCCCTTTCCCCTTTCCTGGTTCCTCTCATACCCTTCTGCCACCCCACTCCTTCCAGCCATCCTTCCTTCTCTCTCTCTCTCTCTCTCTCTCTCTCTTTCGTTCTCTCGCTCTCTCGCTCTCTCGCTCTCTCGCTCTCACTCTCTCTCACTCTTCCCAATGCGCGCTCCGACTCCCTCTTTCTCTTTCGCTGCTCCTCTCATTGGCGCGCTTCGCGTCTCTCTTTCCCTCTTTCAAAACCCTCATTCTATCCCTCTCTGTTTCTCTCTTTCTATCCCACGTTGCTCTTTATCGCTTTATCTCCCACCGGACTCGAAGCTCTCTCCCTCTCGCGATGCCCACCTCTCTTTCTCTCTTTCTCTCTCTCTCTCTCTCTCTCTCTCTTCTTTCCCCTCGAACCCTTTTGCGGTATGGCTCGCGTGCTGGACATCCGTGGGGAGCTCGGCTTTGATCGATCGATCGAACCTCGATTTGATCGCTTTCCCCGTGGTCCATCCTCCTCATCCTCCTCTTCGTCGTCCTCAGCGATTTCTTTTCAAAGAATTCGCCGCCGTCGTTATTAGATCGCTCGCGAAGAGCCCGCTAGTTTTGCAAAATTAAGCGCCCGGATTTTCGGTGAAAAATGATCCTTGCTCATCGGACTAGCTTCCGTCTTTGATGTCTTTTTTTCTTCTTTTTTTCTTCTTCTATCCTATTTTTATTAACGACTTTTATCTCATGTTCCTTGAAAATAATAATCCGTCGAATAGACAGACAGAGGGAGAGAAAAAGAGAGAGAGAGAGAGAGAGAGAGAGAGAGAGAGAGAGAGAGAGAAAGATAGAGATAGGGAAAAAGAGAGAAGCAACTTTAACGATTCACAAATGACAAGTTGATAAAAACTAAATGATAAAGGGAAAACAAAAGGGAGAGAAAAAAAATATTCATTTCTCATAGTAACGAATCAGCCCGACCTATGTACTACCGAATAGATGATGATCGTATTTTCAGAGAAATCCGAGGTTATCCTGCGTGTTTGCCTGCCGGCAAGTCTGCGACCGGTTGGATATCGTCAGGATATATTCGCGCAGGAAATGGGTAGCTCCATTGTTTGCACATTCGTACAAACAGTGCAGCGTGAGGATGCGCCCAGCGAACTCTCTATGTTTGATTTTCGAAAGTGAAGCCGTACTCCATTGTACGCCGTATGCCGACGCGAATGATATCGCGAGTACGCTGGTATGTTGGCCTCGATAAAGAATCGAGACTGGGATTGTAAAGATGTCGATCATGAATAAAGATCGAGAAAATGATCGAGATGATCATTTTGGTGAAACTCTGAAATATGAAAGAAACAGAAAGAAAGAAAGAGAAATAGAATAAATCGAAGGAATTTCAATTCGTAAAGAAATATTAAAGAAATGGAAGGGCAAATGGAGAGAGGGGAGAGGTGGGGAAGGAGATGAGGGCTTAAGAGGAAGTAAAAAGGATTGAAAAACTAGTGGCATTGAACGGAGAAATAGCCGGTGGTGGTATTCGGAGGACCAGTCGAACGATCACCGACGAGACGGTGACAAACAGCGATACGGTGGAAACGTTGAAACTGGACGGCCGTCGTCGTATTGACAAACGACCTAACGCCCGTGTGGACCGCTGCATTCGACGAGATTCGAATTATCTCTGTTGGAGCTTGTCAATGCAAATGCCATACCTACATTCAATTACCCCTCGTCACGCTCCGATCAACGCGCTCCGCCGACGAGATACTTCCTACGATCCAACCAACTCGATCTGATATCTTCAATGCCCTCCCCCCGCCATCTGCTCCTCCACCCCATCCCTCCACCCCATCCCTCCTGCACCTCACCTCTTCTTTCTGCATTCTTCTTTCTTTCTTTTCTTTTTTTTTCTTTTCTTCCTCTCTCTCTCTCTCTCTCTCTCTCTCTCTTTCTCTCTCTTTCTCTCTCTCTCTCTCTTTATAATATTCATTCGCCTCGAGATTTCATTTCGAAGATTTTAACACAGCGAAGTCGTGACATACTTTTGCAAAAGTCGTGACAATCCATTCGTGTGATTTTTCTTTAAAGCGGCTCATCGAGCCTTTTAAATTAGGTTAATCATTGATAAAAATGAACACGAAACAAACCACGTCGTGTCACACGCAACAATGTTAATCGATGGACTCGTCGTCGATTGATAATTAATCAAGAGCACTTCTCTTCTATGGGGAAAATGAAAACTAACCTTTCTTCCGCTCTGCTCTACTCTACTCTCTCTCTCTCTCTCTCTCTCTCTCTCTCTCTCTTTCTCCCTTCAATTCTGTCTCTCTCTCTCTGATTCTCCATCCACGTGGAATACGATACGGGATACAATTTGAACGATAACAAGATCGTACGTACATACCCACCTGGGGATCCGAAATTGTCTCCGGAGCACTCACGATATCACGACATCAAGATATCTAAATAAATATCACACTTTTCTATAATCACGAGGTCACGAATCGTCGAAGGGAAATTCGAATCTTCGAGTGGTCGAGTATCCAATGAGAAATAGAATCAGTCGATATAACATCGTGTAGCAGGTTTCGTGAGGGATCGTGGCGAGCACGTGTGTTGTCACGCTAGAGAGAGAAAGAGATAGAGAGAGAGAGAGAGAGAGAGAGAGAGAGTTCGCAAACGTCCAATAAATGATAGGTCGACGACAACGTGCGTATGTGTCGTGCGATCGAACAACAAATAATCGTGATAATACTATTGTCGAGATAGAAAGATAGAAAGAAAAAAAGAAAAGAATGAAGGAAGATAAAAGAAGTAAAGAGTTTTATGTGTGTGTGTGTGTGTGTGTGTGTGTATGTCTGCGCTTGGAAAACCGGTTGTTTCGTTTGTTCGCGATACGAAACCGAACAGGCCGCCTCTACCAGCGGCTTAGAGAGAGAAACGAGTACTGGCAGCGTGCGATGGTAACGTGGGTGCGTGCGAGCAACAAAGCTGACGGTAGCACCAGCAACACACCAGCAGCAACGCCAACGATAGCAGCAACCGTGCCGCGTGAACGTTAAACCACCCCTTTCGTTTCAACCCCTTCTCGTCTCTCTTCCTCTTCTCCACTCTCCTACAACGACAGAGGAACTCAACCCTCTCTCTCTTTCTCTTTCTCACTGATATAACACGAGCGGAACTCTCTCCCCTCCCTATCTCTTCTCCAGCCGCCCCTACCCTTCCCTGTGCCGCCCCTTCCATGTGACGCTACCACCCCTACGACGACGTAGACGACGACGGGGGTGCTCCTCCAAGTTGGAGGGAGGATGCCGCTTAGACACCCATATCCCTCTTCCTCCTCCTTCTCTTCCTCCTTCTCCTCCTCTTCCTCCTCTTCTTCTTCATCCTTCTCTTCCTCTTTCTCCTCCTTTCATACCTCGATTCTCAGTGGTGAACATGTGTAACACGCAGCTTTGATTACGCGCCCGCGGCCTTGTAAAAATTATTATTATTATGTCGACCTACTACCACTATCACTACTACTACTACTACTACTACTACTAATATTATTTACTTTCTTCTTTTTCTTTTTCCCTCCCCTTCCCCTTGTTTCTCTCTCTTTCTCTCTTTTTCATTGTCTCTCTATTTCAAAAATTCCATACTTTTCATTCTTCTTTTCATCTCTCTATTTTAACATCCTTCCTTTCTCTCTTTTTTATGCATTTCCTCTTCGTTCAATTCCCATTGACCGCCACTACTACGCGTTGATAGGTAACATAATCCACGTTAATGTTTTCTCGTATTCGGTTTGCCGATTCTTTGATTCGCTTGATGTTCGAAATCATCGATGGCCGTTAATTCGTGAGTAGAAAGCAGCCGTAATTAGAAACGCGATTCTAAATAGCCCGACGGGCTTCGGGAGTGGCAGAGAGAGACAGACATAGAGAGAGAGATAGAGAGAGAGAGAGAGAGAGAGAGAGAGAGAGAGAGAGAGAGAGAGCGACAGACAGAGAAAGAGAGAAAGAGAGAGAGAGAGAGAAGAACGAAATGAAAACGCGTTATCGATCGAGGGCTCGATTAAACCGTTCAATGGAGACGTACGACGAATCCGCGTTAATTCCTGCCCGTTGGACGGTGCAAAAGAATCGTTTGCATCTCGTTCCGCGCCAGCGAGTCGAACATCTATTTGGTTAATGCTTAAATGATCGCGGCTCATCGTTAACCAGGAGCTATCGTTAATCCTTATTATATTACACGTATAGATATTCTATATTTTTGTTGTAAATCCATGAAAAAAAAAATTGAATAAGTAAAATTACTTTTCTCAATAAAAAAAAAATCAATTTGCATACGTTATAAATGATTATATTCACAATGTGAATACGTATAAATAATACAAAAATTGTATAGATATTTAAAAGAGGTATATGTAATATATGAATATATTCACATAATATGGATATCCATGTATAAATATATAATCAAACGTAGATCACATAATATGGATATCCATGTATAAATATATAATCAAATATAAATAAATATATACATATATAAAACAATCATCAATATTCTTTTTTTTAAATCGTAAAACTATTCACAAATTTGTATTATACGATTAGAATCTTATCAAAAGCCCATACGAAGGGACTATCTAGTAGTAGTAAAATCATTAAACGAGCAAATCAAGAAACTTTCCCAATGAGAAACCACCGAACAGGTAAATGTTTCGGATATAGCAGAAGGACCTCCTCTCCCCAACCCCCTTAGAGAAGTCTTCGGGATGAGGGTAAATCGAAAACTCGTCGAAACGTAACGCGTGTGCCATTTCGCGGGTCCGGTTAGAGTGCGACGGTCAGGAAGAGAACGGTACGAACGCTAGCGGCTTCCCTGCTTTCTGGTCGAAGTGGGGCTAACCGCAGAATCGGAGGCAAGATGGCAAAAGTAAGTCGAGAGTCGAGGGGCGGTCCTGTGGCCTGCCCGGCCCACCG